TTATAATAAATCTATTAATATTATAATAAATTTTTTATTTATTCTCATTATTTTATAATGAGAATAATGATATATAATGATCAAATCAAAATTTTTTTACAGTTACAAATTTTATTATAAAAAAAAGAAATATATTGATTAATGCATCATTTTTAAAAAGTTATTTTAAAATAAGAAAAATATTTTAAATATTTTTTATTAAATAAATAAATTTATTGTTTATATTTAATGTCTGATCTTTTCATTTTAACAAAATGTATTAAAATTTTCATAAAAAGTATTATTCAAGAAAGAAATATTATTCAAAATTACAAATTTTGTAATATTTTAATTTCTTCTCAAGAATTCTCAAGAGATATAATCTGATTTCTTATTTGCCGAGAAATAAGAAATCCAGAAATCTGGTATAATAATAATAAATACAAGTTTCATTTCAGATCAAAATGTGCAAAGTTCAAAAGTCTAATAAAAAAGAAAAGATGCCTTGGGCAATAAAAATTGTAACAAAATATCTTGTATATTTTCTTAATGAAATTAAGTAAATATAAATTTGTAGTAAATATATAAGTTTCAAATAAAATAATAAATATTAAAATAATTTATTTTTCAAATAAATAAATAATTATTTAAATAATATTATTTAAGACAAAGAATATATAATATAATATATAATATAAAGAAATAAAATAAAAAAATATACACATAATAAGGCATTTACAATAGATCAATACGTTATAAATAATTTTCAAGAATCTGAAATAATACTCATAATCTGAAATAATACTCATAAATAAAGTATAAAGTATAAAGTATTTTATTCAGTAATCTTGATCTTGGATCTTAATCATTGATCTTAAATCATTGTCACTCTAGATAATATATAAAAAAACATATTTAAAAAATAAGTTGACCTTTATATGATCATATTCATTTCTCAAAAAACTGTTCACAATTGTCAAATTATATATCTCTTAATACTTAATACTTTGATCTGATTAATACTTACACTTACACTTAATACTTATATCTTCTAACAAGCTAATAACAAACCGAAATATTGTGGCCTGTTTTACAGATACTTTATATTGTATAATAATATCATTCAATTTTATTTAAAAGTAAAAACAAAATTTTATTCAATAATAATTTATTTTTATAATGTTCATTTCTGATATTAACAACTCGATTTATTCACTTATATTCGATGTTCCGTTGCATTTTCAAACATCTTCCATCACTTCATATGATTCAAAAATACGTATATATAGGAGGAATAAATTCATACATGTAAAATAATATATAATATAACATTTGTCACTCATCATACACTGGTGATAAAAGAAGTACTCAGATAATAATGTTTACGTGTCTCTAGAATTCTTTCTTCCTTTAAGTTTTCTCACACTTTAACAATACGAATTTCGTTCGTTCATGTATCGAACACGATTGTATGGAAATATTCCGATATATTCGTTAAATGTAATATAAATTGATTCGTGAAATTTTCGAAGATGATATATAGATATACATATGGATGTAGAAATAATCAATAATTGAAATATAACTAAAATTAAATGCAAAAAGTTGTTTTCGAAAAATAATTAACAAAAATTTAATAATTGTTGAATTTAGGAGTAATTTTCGTCTACAATCTAATAATTCTTTTAATAATATATTTGTCATATTTAGTCTATTGCATATATTATCTTTATGCATATATTATCTTATTATTGTATCTAATTTTTATTCTTAAATTTTAGAATAATAATTCTCTATTCATATTGTATACTGGCTCACGAAAATGTTTTATATAAACATTATTTTATATAAAAATTATCTAATTCAAATATTTTGATTTGAATAAAAGCTTGTGCATATATAGAACATAATAATAAATATTATTTAAATTATATAGATGAAAATATAAAACAAATTCAAACAAATAAATGCATAAAGAGTTATAAAATATTTATTAAAGCATTTCGCAGAATATTTGAGTTTATTTTTAATACATTTATATATGAAATTTTATTCAAATTTATTTCAAATTTTGTTGATATAATACATATATTGTATTCATAAAGAATATATGAATAAATTAAATATTCAAATATTTTCATGAATTATTATATATTCGATTAAATAATAGAATATTAATGTGAAATAGTTTATATTGCATATCAATTTCATTCTTATCAAAATCATTATGTGATATGATTTTATTCAAGCATAAAATATAATTATATTTCTTTTTTTTAAATTAGAACTTTAGAATATTTCTTTTATTATTTGTATAATTTTTTTTTTAATGTCAGTTTGCATAAAAAGATATTGAATGCAAAATCAAAAAATTAATATCACATATAATATTTCAAATTTTATACAATTTTAATATTAACATTGAATTTCATTCAAAATTTTATAATATATTATATGATATGTTATATGATTTCGCAAAATTTTCAATATAATTTTTTTATCTCTTGAATCTCTTTTATCAATCAATTTTCAAATTATTATTAATAATTGCAAAAGTATACTCCAAAATTAATATTATTTTTTTCAAAAATAAGCTTTCAAAATTTAAAAGCTTATTCTATTTCTAAAATATAATAAAAATTTATTAAAACTAAAATATAATAAAAATTTATTCTGCTATATTTCCTTTCACGAAATCTTTGTTGTCAGCAAAGCAAAGAATATTACGAATTTAAGCTACTTATGATTTTCTTTAGCATAATTTATGTTAAATAATATGTTCGTAATTTTATAGTTAAAAATTTTAATAATTTCAAAATATCTATAAAATATAAAATATATAATTATAAAATAATTATTAGATCAGAAAATAAATATTTTCATTAACTATTAAACAGAAAATCCTTCAATAATAATTAAAATGTATCGCATAAAACTTTTAAATTTTAATTTAATTCCATAATAGTTCGTCACGGAAATTTCAAAATCATTTAAATTTAAATAAGCTTAATTAGATAAAAATATTTTTTTAATTATTGCTGTTTTATTTTTTACTAGAAACTTGTATTTAGCTATTGAATTTTAACTGAATATGAACAAATATATATTTATATGTATATATAAAAATTATTTATGATTGTTACAGTATAATTTAATTATTTTGATTTATTATTATTATTATTATTTATTATTTTAAAACTTAAATATTTAAATTTGATCTTTCCATACTATATCATATATATGAATAATATAAAAATTATTAAATAAGTAATAATTAAAGTAATAATTAAATAAGTAAGAAACCAAATTGATTTATTGCAGTCATGCTAACCAATTAATTTTTTTAAAAAATAAATAATAATCATTTTAGCAATAAAATAAATTTTTCAAAATTGATAATAATATTCACTCACATTAAATAAATAAGAATGAAAATATTGTATTGTGAATATATTCATAATTAAAATTTTAATAAAAATAATTGATTTTATTTCTCTAAAAAAAAAAAGAAATATAATAAAGAAAAGTCAAATAACAGAGAAAAAATATAAAATATTGTTTTTGTTTTTTAACTCAAAAAGTTTTAAAATATATATCTATATCTATAAACAAATAAATCAAATGAATAATTTTAAAAAATTTCGAAATTTAAATAGAAATTTTCGTAACTTGAAAATTTATATTTTTCTATTCGAAATTTATTTAATTGAGATTTGATTGTATATGATTTTATTAAAGACAAAAAACATTAATGACTTTTATATAATTTCTAAATGTCTATTCATAGAAAAGCTAAGAATACTTCATAATTTCTTATTCAATTAGTTGATAAATAAGTTAAATCTTTTTTTATTTTAAAAAAAATTTTTATTAATTATTTAAAAACAATTTTATTAATAATGTTGATATTAAAATTTAATTCGATTATATCAATTGTATATTATGATAATAATAAATATAAATCATATAATAAATATGTTCAAATTCAAAATTCGAGCTGTATCCAATTTTTGTAGAAAAAAATCATCATTCTATCAATTCATAAAATATACAAAAGTCAAATTTTTTATGATATAAAAAATTCAAGAATAGCTCTAATAATCTCTTTATAGCAATTAATTTTCATAAAAACATTTTTCTTATAGTTTCAATCCCTTAAGAAATATTCCACCATTCTTTATTCCCGTTCTTTTTTTTATACTATTTATTTGTTGGATGTTAACATCACATATTTCTTTACATTAACCATTTTTTTTATAATTTTAGATCCTTTCTTAAATACATTTGTCTTATTTAAATTTAAAACTTTGTATAAAAATTTTAACTTTATTTCTTCAATTCCTCGTTCATCCTTTTCTGTGACTTATTTATTCTTCTTTGATCAATTTCGAATTATTTCATTGAAATATACATAGTCACAAAAATGTAGGAATAGAGATTTCTGAAATAATTTCAAACAATATTTTCCTTTGTAAAGATTTTCGGCTTTGTTAACGAATTATTAGCAAAAAATATTGATTAATCACGAAGCGCATAGTTTAATCGAGCATTGGCTATGTATTGAACAAATTCAAGCAACATATATCCAAGAAAGTATGTTGAATATTATGATTTATTCATTCTTCGTGATACAATTCGATATAATTTTTTAATGATAAAAAAATATTTAATGTACTTTCTTCGATATAATTATTTTATTTGGATTTGTTTATGCTCGGTTGGCACATAGTCAACGCTACGCTATTGGCTAGTGTTTTTGTTAATAACTCGTTAACAAAACCACAATGAAAGTTTTTGCAAAGAAAATGTTGCTTGAAATTACCTCAGAAATTTCCAATTAACGAATGTTGCCACATTTTTGCAATACTCCGTATGTAATCTTGAACGAATAAAATTCGGTTAAGATACCGTGCATGAGCCTTAATTTTTCGAAATATATTTATACGTGACCCGGCCCCATACTGCAGGCGGCAATAACGAAGTCGATTCTCTTTATAATTCTAGTTTCATAACACGTACAGGTGAAGTTAACGTGCCGTGCAAGAGGCGTGCCCCCACCCCGCTTATCATGGAAAAGAGAAGACGGGAAGAACATTGTAATTCGGAAGCCATTTGCAGGAAGCTCCTTGAACCAGAAGTCTCATGGTAAGATTTAATATAGATGACGCTCTTCTACCATTTCGCCGATATAATATGGAAAATACAATTATGTTTTCCTCGGAACCAACCACAGGATTCAGTTCAGTATTTTAATTCCCTTATTTCACCACGAACGTAGAGATTCGTTTTCGAAACGAACCGCCTGCGGGAAACGTAACTTTTCGAGAAATTGTTAAGTAACACTTTGTGGAACACGCCATAAGGAATCCGATAGAAGCCCCGAATTTTTATGGAACATATTTACGATAAAATGCGAATGATTTTTGAAAAATATTTATTGTGCATTTCAATTTAAATATCTTGCCTTATAAAAAAATTATTTTTATTAGAATTAAATTATATAATATATACATATTACATAATATATACATATGTAATTTTACATATTATAAAGTAGAAGTTAATAATAAAGAAGATTAAGAAAATAATATAAGATTGCGATATTGTTGCATAAATTTTTTATTCAAATTTTTTATTATTGATGAAAAGCATATGTTAGTTTTATTTGTTATTATTTGCTATATTTATTGACAGAAAATATTTTTCAAATCTTTCTATTTACTATTTATAAATTCATTAATTAACGAAAATATTTAAGAAGATGTTACTGTTATTTATAACAGTTATTCGATTCGAATTATTATTTTCATCTCAATTATTATTAGCAAACTGAATACTATTAAAATATTTACTGTCACATTTACTATTTTAAAAAAGTAACTATTTACATTAATTATGTTCATAAATATATTTGTCTTGTATGTTTTTATAAATAATATATTAGATATTATTTATAGAATTTACATTTACATTTTTTAATTTTAATGACTTATTCACATTATTATTAATATTATTATTAATTCATGAAAAATCGCTTTTAGAGTTACATGCACAAATAAGAAAAAAATATTTGCTTATAATGCAACTGATTTAATTATTGTATCGTTAAGAATTTCATTTCTATATTTTTTTGTAATTGAATTAAATACATTATATAAAAAAATGTCTTACTTTTTCGTTAAATTCTATAGAAAAAATAAAAATAAAATTAAAATATTATGTGAAAAATATCAGAAAATTCTTCATTAAAAATTATATCAAAATTATAAAATGTTTTACAAAAATTATAGATATTTTTATTTATCAAATTATTTGATAATTTGATATTTGATATATATTCTATATATCAAATTATTTCATTTTTATGAATACATATTTGATATTAACATATGAACCATATTTTTTAAAATATAATATAAGTTACAGAAATATAAGTTACAGAATGAGAAAAAAATGAATAAGAAAAAAATTGTCATTTTTGCAAAGACAATAGAATTCACATTTTCTTTTTTTTTTTTTCAAAGCAAAATTTAAATCATTTCATAATCGAGGCATCAAAATATTCTCAGAATATTGGAAGAAAGTTGTAAAAAACTATGGTGATTATATTTTTGATGAATAAAAAATTTTCACACATCTAGTTTCAAACTAGTTAAGTTTTAATCACATTTTTTCATTCAATATTTATTAAAAGTAACTTTTGTCGAAAAAATATTTAAAAATATCAAGTAAATATCAAAATGAAAAATAATAAATTGTTCAAATAATAAATTTATATTATTCATCATTTATTATTATTATTTTTATTATTATTTTTTTATTACTATAATTTAATAATAAATTTTTAAAAAGAAACTAACAAATATTTCTAATTTCTTAAAAAATAATATAATAATTTACATTGAATCTCTTTCTAACAATAATTGTAAAATTATACAATATTTTGATTTTTATTTTTTACTCTCGACAATTCATTTTGCTTGTGCCAAAATTAAGCGTTCCTCTGCTGGAAGAGGGAAAAAAAGGAAAAAGAGGAAAAGGAAAAGAAATACATTCTCGAAATAGTGCAGCTCTTTAACAATATCACCGGCCATTCATACAACTCTATTACGCACTCGAAATATCGCGTAATAACCCCGTTGAATACAAAACGCAATCGTTAGATATAAACGTTGAAGCCTGGTGAAAATGATCGACAGATAGCGAATCGTAAAATCGCATAATATTTGATGGATAGAAACATAGTTACTCCTCCATTATTTCTACGTAGATATTTCGTCCTAAACGACGTATTTAGTATTCACTTCAGCATGGTGTTACTAATAGCAGGCGAATTACAGCGCACTGTCGACGATGTATGCGGACATACCCGTTGCAACACGTGCTAAGTGCAGTGGCCCTGACTGCGTGCAAAGGGGATAGCTTATTGTTGGCTTACAATGGCGATAATTATTGGATATTGCAGAAGAAAAGTTGTGAGCCTGAACAGAATCTGAAACTCTATCATCCAGTAAGACTTGTCTTTGATTTTGTATGAATCAAAACAGAACCATTTATTTTAATATACGAATATAATTTTGAAAATGAAAGTATGTGTTATATTTGATACAATACTCTTTAAATAGTATTTGAAAATAATCGAATGGTTTTTCTTCGTAAATAAATATTATTTACCATTATTATTATAATTTGTTTACATCTTTAATTTTTTTCGATACAAGCTCTTAGGTTTTAGATTAAGGAATGAATAAAGAAAAGCCGCATTGTTTTTAAGATAAGCCAATATTTTAAATAAGATTAATGTATTTTATTTTAACAGATATTTTTAAAATAAAATATTTTATTTTCTTATGCTATATGTTTAACGTTACTTATTCCAAATTCTAAATATTACATTATGATCTTTCTTCTATTTCCCATTTTGGATCATGATAAATTGAATGTTCTCCATATATTAGTAATATTTTGAAGGTTTGAGTTTCCTTCAAATCATTCTGAATTTTCATCCATAACTCTGACTATTCATTTTTAATTTTTAATTTATTGAAGAGATGGTGGGTTTCTTGGCAAGTCGCGAGTTATATTTTTGTAATTACTGACGTTATACCATGTTAATCTAGCCTTGTCGGGAATTTAAACGGAATTCGATGATTTATGATTTACAAGCTCATTAATTAGCGATTTCCGTTGGAACAGCTAACAAGCTGTTCGACGGATTTACGGAAGTTTGCTTTTCAACTGCAGTTTTCCTTACGTAAAATTAATCCTTCCACAGTGTAATAAAATTACGAGGAATTCAAAATAAACAAGTTAAAATATAATTGAGGCAAGAGAAGAGTAGCTCCATTTTCATTAATTTTGGAAAAATTGAAAAATATTTCTTATAAAATTATTATTCTGGGTTGAAATTAAAAAAGGAAATGTGATTAAAAAAATATTTTTCTTTTTACACAATAAGTATTGATCGTTAAATCGATAAATCTTTATTTCGAATCTTTAAAATTTGATACTGTTCTGGGTACACAAACATATCGAAAAAATTATTATTTTGTATTAATAATAAAATAACACAATAAAATACACAATTTATTAATTTATTGTTTTTTTATTAAAAATAAAAAGAATATGTATATTGATATTTTTTCATATATTATTTCATATTATAAATAATTTAATAAATAAAATCATTTTAAATTCATATTAAAAAAAACAATAAAATCCAAAATCAGTAATAAATGGTTTATTTTTCATTTGATCCGCAAACAATATATATAAAGTATTTTTTTACGAATATTAAATATAATAATTTAAAACTGCTAAAAATTTACTTCTACTGCAAGATTTTCAAATATTTTCTTACTTATAAAAAGATATTTATTTTTAATAATTGTTATATGTTGTAATCATTCTGAATAGTATTGTGAAGACTTTTGTTATTCAGCAATCATTCATTAAAAAATTATTAACGAAAATGTTTCTTCGAAATAGTTTAGATTAATTTTAATCAAATGTGTTACTAGACAATTGATGGACATAGATTAATAAAACTAATCCAAATCTAATGCGAATCATTAAATCTAATAGTTAAATAAATTTTTTTAATTTTAATTTGGGATAAAATTAAATTTAGAATTAAAATTAAAATTAAAATTAATTAATTAAAATTAAATTAAAATTAAAATTAATAAAAGATAAATTGATTCATATCAAACAAAAATTTAATTTCTGGATTTGTTTTATTTGGATTGAATTAGATTAGCTTAATAACTTTTTAATAAACAATAACTACTAATTAAAATTTTCACAACACTATTCAATATGATGATTTTGATATTAAAAAATCATCTAAATCAGAGAATAATAATATTTTCTTATTGTCATTCCTTATTAATATCTTTTATTATCAAATACCATCATTTTCTTATGATTCAATTCAAGGATTTTTCACATAATTTCATGTAAATATTATACAAAAAAATTTTTCGTAAATTTCTATTATTGTTTTTAATATTGTAATGTAACATTTAAAATATTATAAAATAGTTATTAAATTTTATTTATACAAAAAGACGTTTATTCTAACGAACAAATTACATTACAATAATATTATATTATATCATAATGACAGCATCTCAAACGATAAAGTAATATAATAATACAGTTTCCTTAATTAATTCTTACGGATAACATCTTGAAGAGAAATGACAGCCTCGAGCACCTTCGTAAATTTTAATAACGAAAATTTCTACGTAACAATGATAAATTTTAATGTCATTAACATTTAGACAGCTGTGATTGTTGATCAGTTGAGAAATATATGATATACATTTGCTATTCGAGCGAACGATCATATTATTTTGCGTTATTACGTAATTAAATTAGAGATTTACGAATTTATGAAGCTACTCTTATATCTCGAAATTCTTAGAGAATCGATGTTTTCGCAAGTTTAAAACAAGGCACATTAAGAATAGCAAGAGAAAGGATAGCTTGTGTCTCTGTGCAATATTCTGGCAGAGAGAAAGAACAGATGTAACAAATTGCATTAAAACGTTTACTCTCGACTAGTTTTTTCTTGGTCAGTATAAATGAATTTTAGTGTTACGATTATGAGATGAATAATTGAAAAATGTTTAAATATAATATTTGTTTGAAATAGATCTTTCTAAATATATATAAATAGTAGTATATTCGAAAATTCTTGAATAGAAAATATGATTTCGTATCTATACGAAATATTTTTTCGTTTTAGATAATTTTAAGATATTTATTTTGAATTGCATGCAACTAAAATTCATATTTTATTATTATTAAATTTCTTTATAAATGTTCTTTAAAAATTCTTTATAATTTTTAAAATATTATTCATCAAAATTTCTATTTTATTTTTTATTTGTATTACTTCATTTTATAATTATAAGTACATATAATTATTTTATAATAATTTATTTGGAATATTAAATTATTTTAATATTTATTATTTGATTTCATTATAAAAATATAAAAATGTTTTTTTGTAGTAGAATAATTCTCTTGTACATGGATTTAAAATAATATTCTCTAAAATAATATTCATATTTTTTCTTATATTTTTTCATTTACATGATATTGTTGATCTGAAATATAATATATGTATTTTTTAATTTATGTATAGAGAATTTTAATATTAATTATTTTCTAATTAATTAATTTTAATTATTAATTATTTTCTATTCTTTATTATTTTTTATAATCAAAAATGATTGATAAATAAATCAATTGAAAATAATTTATTTCTCAAATAAAATTTCATAAATTTATTTTCAAACATATTTATTTTTAATGAATTTATTTTTTATTTTATTTAAATTAATCATTTTTTCTTTTTATATTTTATTTCTATTTCAGATAAAAAATATCCAGTTCTGATATCAAATATCTAAAACTTTCAATAAAAGTTTGCCTTTATATATATAACAATTCTTTTTTTATTCATAGATATGTATAATAATAAAAATATATGAACATATATTATATATAAATATTTTATGTCATTATATTAAAAATGAAAATAAAAATAAAAAATTATAAAAATAAACATAAAAATAAAATTTTGAAAAATCTAAGCTATTTAATTAAATTAATAAAATCTTAACGAGTAATTATCTTATTTAGTGTCCGCAGTGAGCGAATATCAAGGCGAAGAGTTGAAACTGACAAAGATTTCAAGAAATGAAATGGGAGTTTATCTCTGTATCGCGAGCAACGGTGTGCCACCAGCGGTCAGCAAACGTATTTTTATCAACGTTCATTGTGAGTAATAATGATTACACCGTAATAGTAATTGATAATTTACTGATTGCATTCTATACGAAACGAAAGAAAACATTGTAATAAAAATTCTATCTGGGATTCTGTTTCACAGTCTCGCCGGTAATTCATGTGCCTAATCAACTGGTAGGTGCTCCTCTGAGTACAGATGTGGTCTTGGAATGTTTTGTCGAGGCTTCGCCTAAGTCGATTAATTATTGGGTCAAGGATAACGGTAAGATTTTCTTTTTTGATAATTTGTAATCTTTTGTGTAACATTGAAACGAGAGATTGAAACTATTTTATAATGGAGAATAGGATAAAATGGAATTTAATTTTTTTATGTTGAAAAAAGACGAAAAGCAAAAATGTTATTTATTATGAATATTTCTTTCATTTTGTTTTTTTTTGTTTTGAATCTTAAATGAATCTTTATTTATTTATATATATTTATTTATTATTATATATTTATTTATTATTATAAGAGAAAAATATTTAGAAAAATGAAAATGAGGAAAAAAAATGAAATTTTTTGAAAGTATTAAATATTAAATCTCATCAAAATGAGTAAACTAGGATAAAATAAAGAATATTCATTTAAAATCATTTAAAATTACAAAATCTTTATTCATGAAAATTATTAATCTATATAAAACTTTAAATTTTAAGATGAAAACTATTAATCTATATAAAATAGTTATAAAAATGAATAGAACATTTAATATTTAAAATATAAAACACATAAAATATAAATATAAAAGCTAAAAACTCAGAATTTTTTATGAATAATAATACAAATATTATCTTCTTTTTCCATGCTGATGCGTTCATATATCAAGTCAACAATTAATATGTCTATTCAATCAAATGATTTTAAAACAAAATAAATTGTATATTTCGCAAGAAATGTTTCCATTTTACTTTATATAAAATATTTCTTAAATAAAAAAAATGTAAAATTTATTGGAAAACTATATAACAAAAACAACTCAATCAAGTAAATAGTTAAAAACTTGAAAGGGATATAACATAATTAATTTTTTCAATAATCAAGTAGAAATACATATGAAAGACAGTCTTTTAAATTTTTAATAAAATCATATGATTTTAAATATAATAATCGATTTCGACTATAAAATTTATTTATGTCTTGAAAAATTATTAATTTAGAAGATATAATTTAAACTTTATCAAATTTAATATATACAAAACAAAAAGAATAGGAATAATAAACAATTATAAATAAGAATCATGTTTTTTGTTTTCTACATAATAAGTTTTGCAAATTCAATATATTCTAATTTTTTAACATAATTAGATTAATATTTTTTTGTAAAAATATCGATTGTATTTAAAACTACATGATTCCATTTAAAAAATATATGTCATCTTCATGCAATGTTTATCTGTAATCTACAAAAATACTAATTACATCTTTGAAACTATTCAATTCTTGTCTGAGTTTTTTTTTTATGATGGATAATTTTTCATAATTTACATATTTTGTTTATAATCAGATATCTTTATATATATTCCATTTTATTTTAATCTAAAATTATCTAAAATCTCTCATTTTATTATATATACATATAGACATATTTTAAAAAAGCTTCATTATTTACATTTTTAAGATAAAAAAAATAAGGTTAAGTTGAAAAATACAATATAAAAATTATAAAATCGAATACTTTACTTATCTCAATATTTTTAATATTTAAGTTAAAAAATAGTTATTATATATACTATTATATTGAAACTTTTACATTTTAAATTTGTCACGTTTTGATATATATATATATATATATATATAAGAAAACGTTTTCATTAGGTTATAGTGAATCATAAAATGCTTTGATAATTTAAATTCATGCTTTATTTTTTAAGAATAAATTTTATTTTATTTTTTTTTTCTTAAATTACGTACAAATTGAGATGTAATAATCTTATCAAAATCAAATGATTACGTATATTAAATAATTGCAAAGCGGAGTACGAAAATTTGAAATAAGTTTAAATATTCAAAAATTGAAATATTTCCATAAGTAAATATTACTTGAGAATATTTTATTTATCAAAATTATAGGTAAATATTATTTTCTTATTAATTATATATATAATTCCGTATAAATGAAATATTTGTTTTTCATTTAATTGAATCGCAATAAACATCGAAAATAAGTTCGTTTTATTTTTATTTCTTATTTCTTGTATAATTAAAACTAAATTTTTTTATATGTATGTTATACATATATAGGATATCTCAATATAATATATATTCAAGAAGAAGTTTAAATTAATTTTTCATGAATAACTAAGTAAAATATAGAATAAAATTTCTTCATTTAAAATTTTACTATTACTTTATTATTATTTTCGAAAAATAAAATTTATATAAATATCGATTGAATCTTATTTATTAAATTATAAACAATTTAAGTTTGTATTAGATAAAAATAAAATGTAAATAGAAATCGCTCTATCTCTATTACGTTGTCCTTGCCTTCATCTAATAATTATTAATTCATCACATGAATTAAATTGTATTAATTTAAATTGTATTAATCATACTTTAGTAAATAACCGTAAATATTTTTATTTAGCAACTTTTGTATTTTTTTGGGTCTTTAAAATCCAAAAATATCGCACAAATATATTAATACATATATATAATAAAAAAGTCATATTTAAAAATAATAATATATGCTTTTCTGAAAAACTCCTATAAAGAAACAAGAATTTATAATTTTAATTTCGTTAAAACATGCAGAAATCGCTTATGTATCATAAAATTTTTTAAGCTTTGAAAATTATTTTCTGAATGCACAAATGAAAAAAAAAATATTAAACATATTCATTTCTATAACAGAAAGAGTAAAACTTAACTGTATAAAAGAAGTTTTTTCGGTATATTATTTAATTTTTTATTAAATATTTTCTTTAGAATTTTTTAAATGTTTTGTTTAAATTTTGTACAAAAGCAATATAATTGTTATAAAAGTATATTCAACTAATATTATTTTTTTCGATTTTTTTTTTATTCTTTGATACATTTTAAGATGCAAAGAATATGCATTATATAATATAATAATGCATTCTATTTATAACATTTTCTTATACTAATCAATTTAAAACTGTGCTAGATCTATCAATCAAAAAATAGGAACCTAAAATCACTCCGTTAACATTAATGTGATTACAAATCGTATCTTACCCGTTTCCTTTAAAAATCGATATCATGAAAAATTAATTTCGTACAAATCAAGATCTAAGCAGGAAGCTCTCTAGTTCTTCTACTATTTCTGTTATAAAAGACTAAGACATTATCTAATAAAAAGAAAAACTATTCGAATATTTCAAACGACTATTATTTAATGATATTTATATCGATATATAATAAATATATATATAATAATATTTAATATAATAAATAAATGACATTATTTAAATTTTATCTCGTGTAAAATGAATGAAAATTTTATCTATTTTTTTGATATATTTAAAGTTTTTATAAATGAATAAATGAATAAAAAAATAATAACTTATAATAAATAACGATCTGATAATAAATAATTTTTATAAATAAATGAAAATAGAATAGAAGTATCATTTCTGAATATTATAATTGATATAATTTACTTTGACATATTATTCATATATCAATACTTTTAAATCTTCTATAAATATAGAAATATACATATAGTTGCTCACAAAAATATTTGAACATTATTTAAAATTTGAAATTTAAAGTAAATTTGATAAATTTATTTTATCGAAAGATTGATTTCAATTAGGAATTTCTATTTTATCAAAACTTGAAATATTGCAAAATAATTGTAATTATATTTAAAACTTTTTAAAGAATTCAATCTTGTAAAAAATAAATATAGTAAAATAGTTATCCAAATTTCAATTATCTAAATATATGGAAAGAATATATTTAAACTATTAAAATATATTAATAATTTTATATTAAATATATTAATTATATTAAATAATTGTAATTATAAATAATTAATTATATTAAATATATTAATTTTTTATATTAAAATAATATATATTAAAATATGTGTAATCAAATGTATGTATTTGAAATAAACTGTAAAAAGATTCTGAGAAATGTTATATTGGAAAGATATCTAAAAACAATTAATTTATTTTACATATACTATATTTTTTTTATTATGTATATATTATTTTAAATATTCATATTTGAAAATTATTTAATTTCTAATTGTATTCACAAATTTTCTTTCTAATCAATTATTCGAAAGACAGTTTATCAGAAAAATTTTATTTGCTTTAGATAATCAAAGTTTTAAAATCAATATTTAATTAGAGAAAAAAAAACAAATTATTAATTGGTACATCTTATATGTATATCCGTTTATCTTATAATTCATGCATTTTTTAATAATATATAAAATAAAATAGTGATTATTATTGTAGATATAATAAAATAACCAAATATTTAATAATTTAAATGCAATTGATATAATACATAATACAATATATGAATATATACAATCTTGATATTACAATTTACTCATAATATGTTCATTACTATTTCAATATAAATATACTTATACATTCAAATATTTGTAATTTAAAATTATATTTTTGTTACAATTAAACTAATATACAATATCCATATATTTCTATATTTAAAATTAGACAGATGTAAGTATGGATATTATTTACACATTTAATTTTTGTAAATTAAAATTATTCTAAATAAACAAAAATTAAAATTTGAAAAGAACTCTTTATTAATAATATTTTATTTTATTAATCAATCAATCGCTTTATTATATATAATCGCGATAAAAATATCATCCCTTTGATATCTCATAACAATATATCTCAATCTTGAGGAGATTAATATATATTTAAAATCATAAATTCATTCATTTTCATCAGAAACAATGAAATCAAGAGATTATTTACATCTTAGCGAAAAGATCGCTTTAATTAAATATATTAATTATGATTAAATCGTTTATTTGCAACCTTTATTCTCAAATATGGAATCACAATAAGAAACAGAATATGTCTTCTGTTCTAATAGATTTAATACTTCCTTGCAGGAAGTTGGCAAAAAGTAACAGACGAATGCAGGAATTACACTCGGCCGTTCACAAATATATTCTCCGTGCAGTTTGTAGCCTAGTAGCTGTATACATACTTTCGCTTCAGTGCAATTTCTATGAAACACTTCGTCCCAATGAATTCGTATGTAATTTTCACCTCACATGGAAAATCTGGTAGCCCCCTTTTCTCTATTTTATTTACGTACATACAGAATATTCCAAAAATATGGTAGTATAATTTAAATTTTTGAGATTTCTAAAATTCGAGAGAAAATTTTTGTTTTGACTTTGTTAACGAATTATGAGTTAGGATGGTACAGATGGAAGAGATAATTTAAGCGTGAAAAAATAAGTCACAAATATACAATTTTTTCATTCGAATTCTTTTCTTTATTCGAAACTTCGTTTTTGAATAAAGTTTATAATTAAAAAATTTTTAAATTTGAAAATTAAAAAAAATTAAAATTATTCTATGTAGAAATAAATAAATATAGAATAAAATTTTATCATTTAAATTTTTATTTTTGTGAAAATTGAGATTGAATTCAGTCATTGAATTTTTTTAAAATTCGATTTCCTCGAAAACTAATTTTTAAATGAAAAAATATATTTTCATATGTAAAATAATTTTCTATCGATAGTTTACTTGCTATAAGAAATTATCTAATTTCAATTATACTTAAATAATTTAATAAAATTTTTAAACTTGATTTACTCAAAAATGATTTCGTTATTTATATTTTATTTTGAGCCAATCTGTCTATCTAATTTCATTTATATTATGAATTACTGGCCATATATAATATATATAATGAAAAAATTATGCAATTGATGAATTTTCAAATTCAATTTTCTCGAAAATTAATTTTTATATGAAAAAAATTTATTCTATATTTTTTGCTTATTTATCGAAAACTTATTCATTCTATTCTAATCGGAGAAGTAGCTAATTTCGCTTGAAAACTAGAAAATTAGAAAATTCTTTGAATTTGATTTATTCAAAAACGAAACCTTAAATAAAATTATATTCTATATTTTAAATTAAATAT